ACACACACACACACACACACCCTCCCCTTTTCTTGAAAACCCATCTTTCTGGCCCCCATCACCTTATCCCACTTCACCCACTCTTATCAAAATGTTTCTCAAGGTAACACCTCAAGCAGGGGTGGGATTCAAATTTTTAACAACCAGTTCTGTGGGCGTGGCTTAGGTGGTGGGTGTGGCTTGGTGGTCATGTTATTGGCTGGGTGTGGCCAACTTAACATCACTCACATTGAGGCATGCATCTCCTCGCCTGGCCTCTCATGACTGTGGGGATGCTGCAAGAGTCATAAGTGTGAAAAATGGTCATAAGTCACTTTTTTCAGTGCCATTCTAACTTTGAATGCTCACCCCACACAAGCAAAGTACTAGCAAAGGGGGGGGGGGGGACTCCAGAGACGTTCCAGAGACAGGAAGTCTAGTCCTGCCAAAAATGTAATAAGGGTTAATGGAGAGGCAGTTTCTGTAAGCAACACCAGAATGCTTCCTTCCTGCCTTCCTTACAGGATTAGGCCAGTAATTTCTTCTAACAACCAAACTGCTTAGAATGTTAACAACCGGTTCTAGCAAATAGGTGCGAACTAGTAGAATCCCACCCCTGATCTCAAGCCTTTCTCAAGTATCAGGTAACTGAAAAAGTGGAGGTGACAGTAGGAGTAACTGGATGCAGGCCTACCTGGAATTCTTCTTGATTCCTAAGCAGCCGACAGCGTTCCTTTAGCAGTTCCTCCAGTGCTAATTCTGGCTCTTGACACTCTCGCACACCTTGGGGGAAATCTGTTACCAGACTGGAAAGTTCAAGGATATCAGTCAAACAGAGGGAAAGAAACAAGCAAAGCTTAGAGGTGGGTGAATGAGAAGTTAACAATTTCTTTTTTAAAAAAAAAGAATTTGAGTGTCCTTTATTCATTTAATAAAAGAAAGGAAAAAAAGAATGAAAGAAACAGAACAAAAACAGAGAAAGGAATACAACATATTGTATCATGCTGTATATTGAACCTATGCAAAATATATTGATTATATATGGCACAGACATGGATAAGAAGCCATACTTTTTGTTAGCTGAGAGATAACTGAATGTCTTTTGTTTTATTTAACTATTTGTTTGTTTATGGCTTCATTTGATCTGACAACTTGCAAAAATATGAGTCTGGGCAGTATACAACGAAAAAAACAAAATTTGAAACAAAAAACAGTCAGGGTTCATCAACATATATTTTCTATTTTCCAGGATTAGCTTCTCTAACATCCTGGCCCATGTGGCTGAGGGAATAGCCAATTCTTCAAAGTCTTCTTAAAAGTTTAACAGGATAGGGGCCAGTCAAATCTCACAGTAGCTCAGAAGGCCTGTAAGCTAGCAGGGCTGGGCCAGCTGAACCTTGTTTATTTAAAATGAAATCTGGAGCCCAAGGAAACGCCAAGGACCCAGCTACATATTCTTAATATGGTCTGTTGCATATAGCAGATCCTTCGTAAAATAATTTTAATATGATGAAAATTCCCTGTCAGCTAATCTTGGATTTTAAAACAAACCTAATATCAATATAATGAATTAACAAACACAGTCATAGTCTCAAAGAATGGAGAAAGAACCCTTTCCACTCATTGCTCCTGCCAGCCATTCAGCAATCAGTCCCTTCCCTACTCAAATTATAAGCAATGTTTTAAAATTGTACAGTTGCATGTTTCTAAATGTATGCATGTATGTTTTCCATTTGTAAGCCATCCAGTGTTCACTGAAGTGTGCAGCTATAATAAATTTAAATAAAGAGCCAATTGGGTCTAGTGGTAAAGGCACTGAGTTAGAAAGCAATAGACAGTGTATTAAAGTCCCCATTAGCTATGAGAGCCAGGTGGGTAACTTTGAGCCTGTCACTCTCTCTCAACACAACCCACCTCACAGGGTTGTTGTTGTTGTGGGAAAAATAGCAGAAGTGTGTTGGATATATTACCTGTTTTGAGTTATTTGTTAAATAACGAAAGTAGAATATAAATAAATATATGAATAAATAATTTAGTCATTCAATTTCTATAGTTTCCCAATCTCAGTCAATGACTCTAGATGGCTTACAATACAAAAAAACATATTACCATTTAAGTACTAAAAACATTTTAAAACAATAAAAACAAGAATGCAGTTCTTAGCAGTCCATCCACTTAAGTTTCATTATTTAGAGCCTGTGTTTTTCAAACTTGGAAACTTTAAGAAGTGTGGGCCTTAACTTCCAGAATTCACCAGCCACCAGCCAAATCTGGTTGGCAAATCTCAGTGGTTCCCCCTGACGGCAATCACCATAATAACTGGTGAAGAGAAATGTCTTCTGCAGCTCTTATGATGTTTCCTTCCTTCTTTTTTTTTTTTGTCTTCTTCTTTCTTGAGCTACCTCTTTTAGACAGATAGTCCCTCACCTGTTCTGCCAAGGACATTTTCCCCACATCCAAATCCCACTTCTAATTCTCTGAATTTCATTCCTGTTGATACCTGCACAGGGCTCCCAGGACGTGCTCATGGAAGGTACTGTGTTCAGATTGGACCAGAGCCACCAGCTGTTGAACCATGCCCATGGAACAGAGAGTCTCTGCAGGGAGAAAAATGCAGAAGGTGTTAACTCCTCAAATGAAAGTAAAAGTTCCTTTATAGCAAGAGTCAGCAAACTCTGGTATGGACAAGAGGCCAAATCTAGCCCAATATAGGTGTTCCTCAACATACAACCATTTGTTTAGTGACTATTCAAATTTACAATGGCACTGAAAAAAGTGACTTATGTCTGTCTTTCACACAACTGTTGATCATGGTCACGTGATCAAAATTTAGGCACTTGGCAATTGGCAGGTATGTATGGTGGTTGTACTATCCAGGTCATGTGATCACCATTATCCCAGGTCATGTGATCCCAGCCGGTTTCAGACAAGCAAAGTTAGCGGTGCAAGCCAGATTCGGTTAATGACCACATGATTCACTCAATAACTGCAGTAATTTGCTTAAAAACTGTGGGGAAAAAAGGTTGTTACTGACTCAACAACTGCTTTCCTTAGCAATGGAAATTTTTGACTCAACTGTGGTGGCTGAAGTCTATCTGTACTTCTTTTTATGTGGCCCACAAGTGAACAGTGGATAGGGAGGTGGAAGATCACCAGGTCAGAGTTGCAGTCACTATTAGGACAATAGTGTTTGTTTGTTTGTCAAACATGTACAAGATAGCAAGTATAAGTATGGACATAAACAGGAACAAAGGAATTACATACAGATAAATGGGGATAGTAAGACAGGGACGGTAGGCACGCTAGTGCGCTTATGCATGCCCCTTTACGGACCTCTTTAGGAATGGGGTGAGGTCCACGGTAGATAGTTTGAGGTTGAAGCTATGAGGATTTGAGGGTGTAACAGAGTTGGGTAGAGCATTCCAGGCATTGACCACTCTGTTGCTGAAGTTGTACTTTCTGCAATCGAGTTTGAAGCAGTTTACCTTGAGTTTCTATCGATTGTTTGCCCTTGTATTATTGTGGTTGAAGCTGAAGAAGTCATTGACAGGTAAGACGTTGTGGCAGACAATTTTGTTACTATGCTTAGATCAGACTGTAGGCGTCACAGTTCCAGATTGTCCATGCCCCAAATTTCAAGCCTGGTGGCATAAGGGATTCTATTGTGAGTAGAGGAGTGGACTACTCTTCTTGTGAAATACCTCTTGTCCCGCTCAATCGTGCTAATGTCCAATAGACAGAGTGGGTTCCAGGCAGACGAGCTGTATTCAAGAATTGGTCTGGCAAAGGTTTTATATGCCCTAGTTAGCAATACAATATTACTGGAGAAGAAGCTTCACAATTAGGTTAACAACTCTTAATGACAATGTTGTTACAGTGAGCTCTGGGGCTTAGATCATTTGAGATGAGTACTCCTAGGACCTTGACAGAATGAGGGTTGTCTACGAGATTGTTTCCACCCAACGTGTATTTGGTGTTTTGATTTTTATTACCAATGTGTAGGACAGAGCATTTATTAGTTGAGATTTGAAGTTGTCAACTGCACAACCATTCATAGTCAAGGTCCCTTTGTAGGGCAGCAGCATTGTCAGTGGTGTTAAATAATTCTGTCATCAGCGAAGAGGAAGCAGCTGCTTTTAATATGATTGCATAGGTCGTTGGTGTAAAGCAGAAAGAGTGCAGAGCCTAAAATGCTGCCTATGGGGACATAGCTATTAACTGGTGCTGGATTTGATAGGGCCCCTCCTATTTTGATTATATGTCGCCTGTTTGACAGAAACATGGCTATCCACTTCCGTAGGGATCTGGAGATGCCGTAAGAACTTAGTTTCAACAGGAATTTTTCATGCACCATTGAATCAAAGGCTTTACAGAAGTCTATGTAAATATAGACTTCTAATAAAAATCTAGTAAAAGTAAGTCCCAGGTCTGAAAGTATTCAGTTTCCTTCTTTTCCTTGATTGTAAGTGTTAGCCTATCCATTTCTGCACATTCGAATATTTTTTAAATTACATTTTCATCTGTTGGGATGCCTTCACATTACCACTGTTGTGCAAATACAATTCTAGCTGTAGTCAGTACATGCAAAATCAAATATGCATTCCCTCTATTGTATTGATCCAGAAAAATGCCCCCCCAAAATATCTCTGGTTTCAAGTCAATACATTGTCTTATCATTTTTTCCATCCATGTGTGGATTTTTGATAATGTGAGCCATGTGTCTCGTGGTATTTCCAACATTTTGCAGACTTATCCTTAAATATCTTTGCTAAACTTAATGGCAGAGAATGCTACCTATAAAACATTTTATAAAGATTTTCTTTGTACGCAATAGACATTGTTAATTTATAATTTCTATCCCATAGTTTCTGCCACTTATCTAACTCAATCAGATAGCCAAAAAAATTTGCCCATACTATCATTGTCTCTATTACTTGTCCATCTTCCATCTTGATACTTAATAAGTAGCTATATAATTTATTATTTTTTCATCTGTTCCTGTTAACAACTGATCTATTTATGTTAGTTCTTTAACATCATATTCATATCTAGATTGTATCTGCAAATATGACCACCATGTTATCTCAATCCCTTGATCACTCAGTTCCTGTTTGGTTTTAATTTCCTCCTTTTTATTCAAAATATCTTTATATATGGTAATATTCTCCATATCAATAACATTTGCTTAAATCAATGTCTCCATTGTTGAGAGCTAGACCAGTATTTTCAAATAATGTTGTTCTTTAATTTTCTCCTGAACTGATAATAGTGCATTTCTAATATAATGTTTTTGGAAATAGCTATATATTTTATTTTTTCCGTACCATAAAAAAAACATGCCAACCCAGTTGGAGATCATGTCCCTCCAAGGTCAATAGTCTTTTGTTTCTCAAGCCAATCCATTCTTTCACGCAAGTGAATATCAAAACTTGATAGTACAATTCCCAATCTGGTAGCCCAAGACCTCCTCTATTTTTAGAATCTTGCAACATTTTAAAACTTTTATCTGCATTAAGTCTGAATCTTCTTTTGGAATAAGAGTAACGTTTGCTTCCATTGCGACCTTCTGACAACAAAGTCAATGAGGAAGCCAAGTTCACTTAAAAACAATTTGACAAATTTAACAACTAGTGATTCACTTAACAACCGTGGCAAGAAAGATAATAAAATAGGGCAAACTCACTTAACAAATATTTCACTTAGCAACAGAAATTTTGGGCTCAGTTGTGGGCGTAAGTCAAGGACTATCTGTGTAAGTTTAAGTGCTATTGCTATCTGGCCTTTTACAAAAAAAGAGCTTGATGATCCTTGCTTTATGTGAAGATATGCTGCCTGGCTAATAATCTGGCTGAATGTACACAATATATTTAACCTGTGCTGAATTAACCCATTTTAAAGTTCACACAATACGGCCAGTACACAAGAACGTTGGAGCTTGGCACAACAGGGTAGACCACCTAGGTACATTTTAAAAAAGAAATTGATCTGCTTATATATTCTGTGGGAAATATATTTCTTTTTTCCAGAAATAAAATAGGCCAGCACAAACATATTATAGCAATATTTCTTTATTCCTGTCACGTCCCCTTTATCCCACCCCCAGTGCTTGAAGGAGACCTAAGCTGGACCTGAGCTGGACCGGTGTGAAAGCAGCCCTTGTCTCCTGATTTCCACACCATCCAAGGGCCACTTCAAGGAGTCTAAAATCCATTCTCAAACACAAAATGCTGTTGACTGCAGTGACTGGGAACAGAAGCACAAGAAACAGGGCAGGAATTGGCAACCAGAGGAGCACATTTCATCCTGGCTTAGTTTCCTGCTCATCAAGAGGGAGCATTTATTTTTTGCTCAGAGCTGCAAAAGACCCTCAGCCTCATATTTCAAAACCCTATTTATAAAGAGTTATTCTAGGACCAGCCAAAGAGTGATCCAAACATAGTTTCCCCCCACCCATTACTTCCTTTATTAACAATCTCTGTGTATCATTCTATTCTCTGTGGACTGTGAAAATGGTACAGGAAAGATCAAGGCATTTAAGCAATCCATACACACAGCTCAGGGGGTGCCCACAATCATACGGTGGGTCAAAGGCGCATTGAAACAGAAGGGGTTTTCAAGACTCAGGGAATGCAAGTAACCTCAGGGCCCAACACCTCTCCAAGACGAAGAGAATGTCCTTGAGAAATGTTTTTATTCTATTCAGCTTCTCAAGTTCTATTCAACCATTCTATTCAACTTCTCAAGTTCTTTCATTCCGAAGGAGAAACACAAACCCTAATATAACAAGTCTGGTTTGGCCTTAGCAGGTTGCATATATCACAGAAACCATGCTTGGTAAAACACCGTTTTGTGATTCCAGCTAATTCCTATGAAAGCAGGGATTAAGCAAGTCACAGCTGAGTGAACCAAGTCAAAAAGTAACTTTATTCACTGGCATCTGCACCGTTGTAAGTAAAGTGTGTGTCAACGTCCGAGACAGCACACTGTTTCAGAGTTGCCACACACAAGCAGGTGGAGGGGGGTGCATGGGGGCACAGATGGGTGTCGGGTGATGGGACTCACACTGGGAGAAGAGCCAGGAAGGCAAGCCAGCTGTGTGCAGTTCAGAAGCCATCCAGGCCTGAAGAGTACTAGCTGGAGCCGGCTGGGAGCAACCAGGAACAGAAGGGTGGGGGGCGGGGTGTTGAGTCTATATAGCCAGCTGGCTAGCAGAAGCCAGTAATGCTGGCTAGAAACCCTTTACTTGTATGGTTCACTATATGCTAAGCTGAGACCCCGGTAAAGAGACCCATTCTGCACAGTGCGGCCTCTTTTGCTGGCTTGGTTTGGAACCGTGGCAGTGGAATTATTAAAACTTGGACGAGACAAAAGTTCAAAACTATTCAGTCATGTAATTCACATGTGAATCAGTCTCCTTCTATTGCCGAGTCTATACTACTCTATTAATCTCAGTGAGGACACAAAGAAATACCTGATTCTATGTATACTATTTTTGCCAATGCTGGAGCAAAGAAATAAAATGTGAAGGAATATTGAAACTGATGACACACATTAGTTTGGAACAGCACGAGGACTTGATACGCAATGATGTCAAACTCAGGGCACGCGGGGGGCGGGGGGTGGGGGGGAGAGAAGATCCAGCCCACAGGGTTCTTATGTCTCACCCACAGGGCCACCCTGGAAACAGCAAAGGACCGTAAACCTCCTGGGTCCAGTTTTTGCTGGCAAAGGGTTGCAGGAAGCCATTGCAGCCAAAATGGGGCCACGTGCCCCACCCCCCAAGCTCCGGGCTAGCAAAACAAACTCAAAACAAAACAAAAGGATAAATATTTCCCCTTTTGCATTTGAGCATGCAAGAAGGGACAGGAAAGGAGAAAGGGAAAGAGGAAAGACGAAGAAAAAGAAGGGAAGATGGGAAGAGAGCAAGGAAGGAAAAATACGGAAAGAGGGGAACGGAAGAAGAAAGGAGAATAAAGAGGGAAGGAAAAGGAAAAAAAGGAAGGAAGGAAGGAAAGTTATCATGAGAGTGAGGGAGGGTCAGAGAGAAGTCCTGCCTTAGCACTTGGCCACCACAGGTACCCCTGACACAAGTGACCTTGACCTGGCCATGCACCACCCCATGCCTCCTCCAAGGTCAAATGCAACCCTGATGCAGCCCTCAATGAAATCGAGTTTGATACCCTTGTCCTAATGCATCCAACAACTGCTAGCGGGGCTTTAAAGAGTCTTCACAAGGTAATTTCTGTGTATGTTAGAAATACAGGCAGTCCTCATTTAGCAATCATAACTATGACCGGCAACTTGTTCATTGAATGAAGTGGTTGCTAAGTGAAACCCTGACTGTGTTTATGATTTTTAGCTTTCCTTTGTTTTTCAGACTGCAAAGGTTGTAAATGTGAGGATTGGTCATAACTTTTTCACCATTGTTGTAATTGTGAATGGTTGCTACATGAGGCAGTCACTCAATGAGGACTGCTAGTAACCTTCAGGAAGCTGGTCTATTCCAAGAAGAAACGTAGGTTACAAGATCCAAAGGAAGCAAAGCAGACTTTATTCCCACCAAGAGGGAAGGTCTGATTTCCTGGTAGTGGCTGGTTTTATTGGTGGGAGCAATTCTGATCAGAAACTATGGGCCTGTCAGAACCAGAAGCCTTCAATAGTTATGACCATAAAAAAACACAGACCAGGAAAGCCAGGGAATTTCAGATAGGTAGGTTAAAGAGATCACGAAAGAGGCAATAAAGAATTCAATATTTAAAGACTGGTTAGACCAGGGGTAGGGAAACTTGGCTCTTTTATCACTTATGGACTTCAACTCTCAGAATTCCTGAGGGAGTCATAAAATGTAGGACATATATTAAACAGTCCCATTCACGTCAAAATTGATTTCCCTCACAACTGAAAAACCAGTAGACCAGGGATGAGGAACCTTTTATGGCCTCCATAGGAATTCTGGGAGTTGAAGTCCATAAGTGATAAAAGAGCCAAGTTTGCCTACCCTTGGGTTAGACTGACATGATTCCTAAAATGAAGTAGGAGAAAGTCAACTTGCCACAAAGGACAGCAACTCCCTTCCTGCTCTTTTTTCACCCATATCCCCATAAAAAAAAAAGACTCTGACCTTTTTGTTCTGGGTGGTTTATGAGAAGATTCTGGAGGAGGAAGGCTGATTTCACCTTCAGTTTCTGTACATTACTCTGCATGGCCCTCATGAGGACAGAGAAACCATCAAGGCGTAAGAATTGCTGTAGGCCAGCTTCTTGGGCTCTTACTAAGCCTGTTAGCAGAAGGAAATAACAAGAAAGAAGGATGAGAATTAGCAAATGCAGACTGAACAATGATGGAACAAGGTGCGGATGACCTCATGCAGTTCCAAACCCAGGTCAAGATTCACATCCCACCCACTTATTTCATCCCCAGATAGTATAACGAAGAACGAGAATGCTATTATCCAAGAATCACTATGATTACATCCTATAACATTCATTAAATACCAGAACAGCCATGACACTATACAATTATATGAAATCCTGGTATTCACTCCTGCTCACCTATCACCTTCAGGCCATACTTTCCTACAATCAACTTGAACATTGGAATTAACTCCCAATGTCTAGATAAATTCCACTGTTGAGGACATGATTTTCAAATGACAAATTTGGGTTCCTGAGCTGTACATTCCAAGTTTGCTCCAGGCATCTAATAATGGTTTGTTTCAGGAAAACTCCAATAGGCCAGGGTATCTTAGCATCACAGAATCCTGTGCTGTTTAGGCATAAGCACAAGAGGCAATTTGCAACCAATTACAGCATTTTCACTAAGTGTATGTGGTGCTTTGATTTTTGCTGCCTGTTTTTAGAATGCTGCTAGCTGCTGTTGACAGTGTCTTGGAAAGAAGAAAAAAAGAACAGAAAACAAAGTTTAAGGTAAGAAAACTCTTTACCTCCATATGATATATTGACCTATAACTTCACAGCCCCTTGCGGTTATTATGATGGTTAAAACTCACTGGAGTGGTAATGCAAAATATCATAAGTTTTGCCACACTGATGTGTAGAATGACCCAATTCATTAACAACCCAACTGCTAAAAGTGATAATAATCATAAACACATTTTAAAAAGTCGTAACAATTGGTTTCCTAACTAATCAGGAAAGTGGTGTTATGGAAGCACTAAATCTTCCTCCTCTTTTCCCTATAGTAAATGGTTCCAGTGCTTGCTTGTTTGGTATTTATACATACATACATACATGCATGCATAGCATGCATACATACATACATACATACATACATACATACATGCATACATACTTCGTATTTCTTAACTGCCCACTCTCTGTTTTAATAATTTATATTATTTTATTTAGGGAATTTATATTGCCACCTATTCTCACCAGGCTCATTTAATGGGCATTGTTGTCTAAGAAAATAAAAACACTAGATTTCTTTTTCCACCGTTGCACAGCTAACAGCCATATTGGGAGAGATCTCCTACATCGCTTTCAGCTTGGCTCTCATTCACTAAGCAGCCACTCCACTCACAAGAAATGGCAAAAAGCGCCTTGATCCGAACAGCCTCGCTGGGGTCATGATCCAGCAGCCGCAGCAGCTTCCTCATGCAGCCCAGTGCCAGGGCCTGCTCTTGAACCATAGGCACATTCTGGGCACAGGTGCCCACCAAATGGGCTGTTCGCCATCGCAGTTCCTGCTCTTCATGTTCCAAGTATCGGTGGACCAACAGCCGCATGCCCTCCAGTTTGCAGAAATCTGGAAGATGATTGAAAGCAATACAGGTAAGCCCTTGACTTACAACCAATCACTTAGCAACGGTTCAAAGTTATGATGGTCCACGAAAATGTATTGTGACCTGAACAGAAAGTTCTGACACACACACACACACACACACACCTTGCGATCATACAATAGTATTTTGGTGTTCAGCAACCAGACTGCATTTATGACCATTCGTAGCATCTGAAGCTCAAATCACAATTTACACTGGGTTTTTGTTTTCCAGAAATTGCTGTTTTCTTCCAGTTTCTAGCAAAACACAGCCACTGAAGTTTAATAACCTCAGATTTACAGAACAGCCATAGTAATTCACTTAACCACTGACATAAAAAAGTTGTAAAATCAAGTTGGTTGCTTTATGAGCTGCTTAAAGACCAATACGATTTATAACAATATTTCCGGTCCTTATTACAGTTGTTACTCGTGGAATGTCTGTAACAGAAGAAAACAGTGATACTGGCTAGAATACCTGGTCCTACTCCCTCTGTTGTGGCTCAAGGAGTAAGGATACAACTGCTTTCTCAACTTGAATGACCTCCAGGTATGTGGACTTCAACTCCCAGAATTCTACAGTAAATATACCTAAGCTGAGAATTCTGGAAATCTGTACTTTTACATTTGTGATTCTCCAGTGATTTCCACTAGCGTATTTTGCATATTAAGAATTATACCTACCAGTCAATGAACTGCACCCATGTGTACCTCCCATCCCAAAATCCTTTGAAGCCCACCCAGATTATACTGCCTCAAATTGCCCAAGTGCAACGTGTAATTTCTCAGAAATAAAAACAAACAAGCCTTTGTTTGATTTTATACATGTAAAACCATGAAAAACCCATCCTTTTAAAAATACCTTTCCCAAATACTTCTCAATTTGCATTAACAGCATGGCCATAATCCCCGAAGCCATAAAATTAGTGTAGGGGCTGGCTTTCAAAAGTCACTCTCCTTTGATTTAAACTTCCTGTTACATTTTCTTTGGGAAGTGCTGGTGAAGGTTTTCTTTTTCTTGGGACAAGTGACAATATGGTGGGGCAAAAATTTTATTCAGCTCAGCTGGTTTTGAATTCCTTATCTTGCCATAACTTGGTTTGGCTGCAATCATTATTTTAAGTCAAAGTTTCCCAAACTTTTAAGAACACGTGTGGACTTTAGAAGGGCTAACTGAGGGAATTCTGGGAGTTGAAGTTCACATGTCTTAAAGTTGCTGAGGTTGGGAAACCCTGTGCTATAAGTGAATTTCCTCTTAGAGAGATATATGCTTCATTTTTCTGAAACATCTGAGTTGGAATCAGGGAAAATAATACTGCAGTATGGACCTCTTATGCTCAAATAACAATTTTTCACGTACACAGGTATGAGATTGTTTTTGTACCTGCAGCGTTATCCAAGTTTTCACACAACTCTGCCAGTACATCGAGGGCACTTTCCCTTCGGTCAAGATCTGAATGCATTTCCTCTGAACTTTCCCCACGTTCTGCTCCTGGGCTTAACTCTTCTAAAATACGCAGGCATTCCTTCATTTGCTCCACTTCATCCATCTGACCACGAAATGCCTCAACCATGGCTTCCTGCAACCACTGTCTCCTCTGGGAAATTGACCATTAGTGGTGAGAAGAAGAGGGGAGGAATGAAAATTGGTAAAAAATGTTCTCTTTTTGTGTTTAGGATGCCTTAAATGCTGTATTAGAGCTTACTTTTTTCTCTCAGAGCAATATGCAGTATGAAGATGGTGGCACAAGCAGTTATCCCAAAGGCAATAATGTAGCACAATCACCAGTGAGTAACTAATCAGTAAATACAAAAAAACCTAGTATAACTAAATAAGAACCAGGGGAAAAATCAACAATAATCCTATTAATTAAACTGATTTGAGAGAGCACCACAGATCCGATATTACCATGTCTAGGGATAGATTAAACCCAGGTTTTCCTAATTCTTAGGAAGACTCAGCACTTAATTTAGGATGATAACATCTCATTTCCTTGCTGAAGGCATCAGAAGTGTTTATATGTTTAGTTTTCACCTTTCCCTCAATGAATTCTATTAAAAGTAATTCTACCATTGTAAATAAGGTTTGTTAGAGATGCATACTTTATTTTTTTCTTTCTTCTTGCGCACAATATAGGCTGATAATTAACATTACCATCATCATCTAGATCAGTGTTTTCCATCCTTAGTCATTTTAAGATGTGGATTTCAACTCCCAGAATTCCCTAGCCAGCATTTGCTGGCTGGCGTATTCTGGAGTTGAAGTCCACACATCTTAAAATGATTAAGGTTGAGAAACACTGATCTAGATTTAAAGGTAGTCTTTCGTCCAGGCACTATACATTCTCTCTTCTATTTTTTCTCCCCAAAACCCAAACAAACCCATGAAGTAGATTCTGCTAACTCTCCAAAGCCATCCAGCAAGTTTCCCTGTCTAAGAATGGACTTGAATCCATGCGTCCATTATCCTTGTCCAACATCCTACTAGTAAATCTAGGGCCTCTGCTTCGTGTCTTATTTCCTGCCTGGATAATCAGGAATCCCTTATGTCTAAACGATGGACTCGATTCCCTCTCCTGATGAGCCCAGGTGCACACCTCATCAGACATAGGTTCCGTCTGACCAGGTTCGGCATTGCCTGCCATGACTGCCATCTGCAGCAACCCCTGCAAATTGCGGGGATGCTCACGCGGTGGCTGGTTCCCATCTGTACCCCCTTCAGCCATGGTTGGAGAACGTGGATGCAAGTCACGAACGTGGAGGCAAATCACCAAAACTGTAAAGGAACTGCAAAGAAAGAAACAGAAAGAAGAATAAGTGGAAGGGGGAAAAAAACCCACTGTGAGCCTAATCACAAGATCAGCCATATCTTTGCTTCAGTCCTCACTTTTCCGAAATACCTCTTCCCTCTTTATAAGCAAAAACTTAACCCAATACAAGTGTTCTTCACCAGAGTGCCAGCTTGCCAGCCTTAATTTCTCTTTAGAGTCAGAAGACTTAATTCCATTTGTACTTCTCCCACACAACAATCCAAGCTACCTGCTAGGGCAGAGATTCCCAATCTTGGCAACTTTAAAATGAGAGAAATGACATGTGGACTTCATCTCCCAGAATTCCCCAGTCAGCATGGCTAGCTGGGGAATTCTGGGAGTTGAAGTTCATGCACCTTAAAACTGCCAAGGTTGGGAACCCTTGTGCTAAGAAGTCAAAAAAAGCTACAACCATAACCATAAAATCAAAGCCCCGTCTCTTTTTATGTGTGATGTGTGATGCACCATCTTGACTTTTTTTACTTCTCCCCTACAGACAACCTTTTCAACCATCACATGGTACACCTAATACTTACTTCATGGCCACTGAACAAATTCAGCCCTCACTATTATACAAAAATGGATCATAGAAGACCAGTTTCCTGCTCAATGCAGGAATTCAATTAAATAATCTGAAGGAGCTTCTTTTGTCTGAACACATTCAGGGAAAGAAAACCATCACTTACTCTGAATAGGTATAATTCCATTTTTTGTCTGAATTATTGAGTGAGAAGTTACATATCTCTAACTACCAAGATATCTTAAAAGACTATCTTCTAATTTTCTATTGCTTAGAGAATTGTAACTAGCTTTTGCCCACTAGATGTCAGCTGTGGAGACTTAGCTAAAGATTTTTAGGATTTCTTTCATGGGAAAATGGATGAGAACAGAATATTGTCCATCAACAAAAATAACACTTTGGAAGACATGAGAATAGAAAGAATAAGACAGAATACAGATGAGAAATCCTGTTCTGGAAAACCTGAATCCCACAAATTCCACTCTATATATGTATACAAACACCACCAGTGAAGAACTCAGCTCATTCATTCTACCTTTTTATTCAATATTTTATCATTACTTTCTTTTATAAATCAAATGTTTATTGTCAATGCACAACATGTGTACAATGAAATTGAAAAATAATACATAATTCAAGGTGGTGAACATGTCTAATCCTCCATCCTCTTCCTACTTTCTCTACAACAGCCTTGTGTGGTAGGTTGGACTGAGAGTTACTGGCCTAAAGTCATCCAGCCAGCTTTCATGCTTAAGGCAGGACTCAAATTCACTATTTCTTGGTTTCAAGCCTGGTGCTTTAACCAAACTGGCTCTCCTGATGTAACCCAAGGGATAAATCATGTCAAGTGTGAACTAGTTCCTGTCCCCAGTCCAGCATCATGTAATAGGAATTTTCATTGCCTCCAACTGTAGATCAACAGACAAATTATGCTATTTTGGTTCCTAAGTCATGCATGGATCCAAACTGAGAATTGTAAACTCTGAACCAAGATATGAGGATTATTGTATTACCACCCCAACAAATCCCAAGGCCATTATTTATTGGTGTGGCATAATCTCAAAATTACAAGTAATCCTCGACTTATAACCACAACTAAGCCCCAAATTTCTGATGCTAAGTGAGACATTTGTTAAATGAATTTTGCCCCATCTTACGATCTTCCCTGCCACAGTTGCTAAGTGAATCATTGCAGTTAGTAATACCATTGTGAAGTCAACCTGTCTTCCCCATTGACTCTGCTTGTCAAAAGGTCGCAAAAGGTGATCAGGTGACCCCGGGACACTGCAACCGTCATAAATATGAGTCAGCTGCCAAGTGTCTGGATTTAGATCATGTGTCCATGGGGATGCTGAAAGTCTGAAAAATGGCCATATCACTTTTTTTCAGTGTTGTAACTGCAGTCACTAAATGAACTGTTGCAAATAGAGAACAACCTGTACTTTGGACATTTCCTTTGCTCTCAGCTTAATCTACCTTACAAGACTGTTGTTCCAAGGCTGAAATAAAGCAGTGAAAGAATTATGTACAAAAGAAGGCATGAAAAAACAAACAAAAGCAATAACTCATCCTACGCAGTTCTTGCTCCTACTGAAGAATATTTGTAGCTTAGGTTTGACATGAGGGGTCTCCTCTATAGAATATAAACTGACAGGAAACTGCACTCCTTACTAGCACTGATGGCATTACCTAGTTTGGCTAATGAAACGCCTGCAAGAAAACAAGCAACTCAGAGAGCACCTCAATTCTTGCTTTCGTTTTCCAAAAATCGCCAGAAATCTTTTTCCCAGTTGTCTCTCCTGAAGCTCTAGAAATGTAAAGTTAGGAATCAGAAAGTCCATAGCCTTAGGCTCTTCTCGCCATGCCAACGTCTTCTTCCCAGGAGATGTGTAGTACTGACCTAGAGTGCAGGACTGTTGTAATGTTTACAAATAGGTAATAATAGCTCTGAAGGTGGGGAAGGCCGGCACCTTATTTACAAGCAGGAAATGGCATTGTGTGTGTGG